TTTTCTCAATAGTTATATGCAATTCGCTGTTAAAATTTTAATTCTAAAATGTCTGTCAAAAAACCGGCGATAGACTGTCTATTTAATCGCAAAGTTCAAGATTGTCGCAAAGGTTACGATAGCGAATATTTTTACCTTCATGGTTTTGAAACCGTTTATATGAAGCATGATTGAAAATCCATGAACACAAAAACTATACGGTTTTTTAACCATTTACAACTAGCATGATTTCAAAATCATAAAAAATGAAATTTAACTGGACATTGAAGATAATGTTGTTGTTGTTACAAATTCCCCTGGAGACGAAAGGCCTAGAGAGGTCCAGAGGGCTCCTTCCCGTCGCATCAGTTCCCCATATATCTGCAGAAAGTCCCGATCAACCAGCAGCTGCCTAAAAGAAGCGCCAAGGCAAAAAAGAAGGTGATCAGGATTTGAAGGATGTGAGCAGGAACAAGGTTGGAAAGTCTTCTCCCCATTTTGAAACCTTAAATACTTAAGATGGCCACTACGAAATCTGGTCATCGCCGATTAATCTGGCTACATGGCCGATCTGTCCATGTAGTCAGATGATTCAGATGGTTGAAGATAATAACCGCTTTATAATGCTGCCATCTATGCATGGGTACGAGAATTATTGAATTTGAATTGTCCACAGTCGCCAATTGTAGAGTGCAGGACACTCTGTACGTGGTGAATGGAATGCTGGAATTGTGTCAACGCTGGGGCTCAAGCCTTTCGGCCATGAGATTGACAGATTAGCTCTCTAGTCTATATTATGTATGCATTTGCAGGGAACAAAATGACTTCATAGGTGGGTCTAATTGGAGCGATAAAATTCTGGTTTTTTAATCGAATTAGGTGAAAGCAGTATAAACGGTTTCTTGCACAATCAACAGTTTCAATAACAATTTATTTAAGGTTATTGGCTATTTTGTTTGAATGTGGCAAAATAACAATCGAATAAATTGTTATTTGGCCATTTTTTCCCGAGAAATTTCTAACATTGTACATTTGCCAAACATCTCACTTTATATCAAGTTTTACTGTCAGTACCAAGCTTACAAAAATGAGAAAATATTGAGAAAAATTAAAGTGCTATTTTCTTAAAGACTTGATGCAACCTAAGATGAAAAAGTATAGAATTAACTAATTTTAAAAAATTAAAAAAAGCAACTTTTCTATGGTCTTGCACGAATAAGTAAGAAGAAAAATACTGAGTGCTAATTTTAAAAACCGAGAAGTTAAAATGTCAGTTAATTTTGCAGATATAATGTTCATATCATAGAAATTTTTCAATAAAATGTTACGAAACATTCTCAGAAAAATTGTTTAAGTAAAAGCAAATGTAAAATTGGTTTTGGAATAGCAATATTAACATCAAATAAATTGCCAACTTTTAATCTGCTTTCGTCAAAAACCATTAAGGAAAATTTGAATTTTTTTTAAATGCACATTATATCAAGAAAACTAACTGAGCCAATGAAACAATATCAAATCTATTCTTACAAATTACATCCAATATTTTGTTTCTTTTTTTTCGTGCAAAATTATAAAAAGTGTTTTATTTTTTTAAATTTATGTATTTGTTTAAAAAAATTTATATAATTGAGAAAAAAAATGTTTTTTTTATTTGAATAATATTTTTTCGTCATTATTTAACATTTATAATTATTATTTCGATTTAAAAATTTCCATATTCACTGCATAGTTAAATTCTTTTCTGAATGACTATTATTAAACTATTTCCATTATGAAGCGCAACGTCTCAACAGCTTTTACCCAGCAAACGTTGTAATTTCCGGCATAAATGGGAATGACAAATAGAAAAGTTTTTAATACACATTACGAAACTGAAGTGTAATTTTGGTCTGAAACAAAGAACATAATGAAAGGTCTTATAACAAAAAAATTTAGCTATTTCGGAATTTCTAAAAAGGTTCATAATGGTATTAATCTAGTACACTATTCAAGTACGTCCTCAACACAAAAATTTTTATCCTAAGAAAAATGCTGAGTACCTATGTACTACTTTCAGGATTTAAGGATTATATTTGCTTAGATGTTGAGTTATTACGGAAAATATATTTTGCACTATACACTGTTAGAATTTTCTTTCTGAAATTATGGTAAAATAACCGGCAGCAGTCTGTTCATCCAATTAACCAACAGGTTAACGGTAACGAATATTTTTTACCTTTATGATTTTGAAACCGTTTACAAATGGTGTGGTTATAAAACCTTGAATTCAAAAATATACGGTTTCTTAACCATTTACAACTAGCATGGTTTCAGAAATGTAAAAAAGGAAATTTAACTGGACGTTGGAGCTCGGTTTTTTGTTAGATAATGGATTAAATGGGCACATTGGAAACTCTTCATGCGTGTAGAAGAGTATTAATGAAATTCGCGGTGGCTACGCTGGGGCTCGAACCCCTGTTCTGTCAGTCATGAGTCTGTTAGATTAGCCCTCTTGGATAAAATATGTACCCAACTCAAAGGAATTGAGCTTCTTCATTAAGTGGGCTTAGTTGGTGCTATGAAGTTCTGGTTATTTAACAGTATTAGGTGAAAGCAGTTAATAAATGGGGTTTCTCAGAGTTAACAGTTTGATTACAATCTATTTCATGGCAATTTGACTTTTTTATTAAAATATGGTAAAATAAGAATTAAAAATGGAAATTGTTATTTAACCCTTTTTGTTTAGAAATTTCTAGCAGTGTATAATAATGGTTTGGTTTAATTTTTTGATTATATTATTCGTAACAACGTGCTAAAGTCATTCGAACCTAATTCTTCTGTAAAATTCATACCTGTATCTAAAGTTAGTAAAAAGAAATAAAATGTTAGTAGATTAGGACATTGCTGTGGTTATCAGAGGTAATGAAAGTGATAAATTATGTCTTAATAACCTCAATTTTCGGGCAATCTTCTGTATTTATTCTTCATTTATTTTCAGATAGTTGGATGAAATACTTAAATCTAAAATACGTGTTGATATAAATATACTGATTGGAAATTGAATGATGCTATTTTGTTAAACTTTTTTATTTTTAATTTTCGTAATCATTCTACACATGAAAGAAGTTTAAAATTGAAATCAGTATTTTCTGAATACCTTTTCGTTTGTCAACAACACGGTAGAAAGTTGTTTTCTAATTTATTGATGGAAACAAGTGCTTTTGTATTATCAAAAGTTGCTTGAAGAGCAAACCAAAATGATTCATCCTGTACCATTTTTGTAGATAAAAAGTCGCCAAGCTTAAAACGAATTCGTGTTTACTAATGCAACTGGAGCCTCGAAGTGTCGAGAAGGTAGAAAAGCGTCCAAAATGCCAGCAAACTAGCCCAAATCAACCAACTAGCGACGGTCTCACTGTCTATAGTATTTCCTATTGGCTGATACTGCGAGCTGTTGAAATACATTAAATGTGTGGAGGTATGAGGAAAGGATGCGTGGTAAACAAAAAATAATATATTTTATTTAAACACAGATTAAAAAAAATTGTTAAGATGCTTGCTAATAAATAAAAATAATTAACTACTTTGCGAAGAAACGTCGAAAAGAGTGGGTTTACTCTTGTTGCTTCTCCAAAGAGTTGATCTTACAAAATTTGCTCCCAAATATTTCCGGAAGTAAAATTTAAGGCATTGTCCGTAAGAGAACAAAAAATTCGTTATATTTCCTAGAATATTAACTAGATATTGATATCATCATGGGTACAAAATATTTAGGACACTAAATATAAAGAAAAATTTATTTAATGATTTCTGTGGCGGATAAAAGGTTCAAAGAAACTATTTTTACCTCTAAGAAGAATGCCAAGACTTTGATAGACATGGGTGTGACTCTTTTTATCGGAGGAATGGAGCACGGACCAATCGTTTCAGAGGAGAAAAAAAAAGCAGATTGCTAGAATAGACTTTTTTGTATACACGAGACTCGAAGTTTTCTAAAAGAAATCCAATTTTATTCCGTTTTAATTCAAGATCGTATCCTTTAGCCATGTAAACAATATTATTTTGCTCAACCTAAGTTACTGGATTCATGTCTTTTCATTGCATCATTTCCCAGGTTTTGTGCATTGACCAGGTACTGTTGATGCTGGATTAATATTAACAATATGTTAATATTAACAGTATATTAATATTAACAACATATTAATGTGACAACTGACTTTGTAGGGTCAGGGAACTGGCCTTGCATCAGAAAGGTTCTGGGTTCGAATCCAGAGCAAGGCATGTATGTTCTTTCATTCCGTCCTTACTATGGCAGCAACGTTGGCCCTTGAAAGAGTGGCCAACAAATCTGCTCTTCAGATGCCTGTATTGACGAAAGGTCATTACCCAGGTGGGCATTGGAAAAAAAATCTTATCAAAATTAACATTAATTAACAAAATTAACATTAACAAAAATAACAAATTAAGATTTAACAATAAAATCTTAAAAAATCTTAAAAATTCACGAAATACATATTTGAGTCTAAAATATTAATAATAATGCTACTAAATTTTTAGGAACATATAGAAAACGAAAAAATAGCAAGTTTTCTTTATAAATTTCCTTTTAATATATTAACTACTTATAACCTAATGCGTATAATTTAAAGTAATTTTATTAAAGTTTAAGAAAACGACCCATTCTTGGGGACACATTGTTTGGAGTATCACTGTCCAACTAATCTTCTTTGAAATTTGTAAAAGGCATGGCTTTTTTAAGTTTTATTTACCAAAATAATAAACTGTGAAAAGAGTTTTCAACTCACTTGCTGTTTACGGGAAAAATAAGGATACTGTTTCACCACGATAAACAATTTCCTTATCTGATGACATGGAAAAACCGGCTTTGTTATTAGGAGAAGAATGCATGTTAAAATACGATTTCTTACGTGCAGAACCGTCAGTGAGTTAAAACAGTATTTCATGCATTAATCCATTTAAAACCTAATCATTTTTTTTAAAAATTAAGCATTGACTAAATAATATTTAATCTTTTTTTTTAGGTATAAATAGACAAAATCAAGGCGTATCTTACATCAAAACACTGAGTCCTTTAATTGAAGGAGATGAAGTGAGCCAAATCTGTCCATCAGAGAATGTCGATGAGGATGATGATGATGAGGAATCACCGACGACAGTCGATAAGGATTGTCAGATCATTAGCAATGTTGGGAATGTCTCAAACAATGAGACATTCAGCGTGGTTGATCACGAGAGTGTGTCATTGTCTGAAGTTAGGTCTACCAGCAAGAAAGCACCGACATTCAAAGTGAATGGCTCAGCTGTGGGGGATACAGACTTGGGTGTGAATGCTGTGGCGAAAAAGAATAAAAAGAAAAATCCCTTCAAAATTGTTAAACCTGAAAAGGGTAAAAAGAAAAGAGAAAAGAATGCTGCAAGGAGAGAAAGAAAAGCCACCAAAACTTTAGCAATTGTTTTAGGTAAGCGTTTAAAAAATGATTATTAATAACGCTTTAAATTGCTTTGTAAAGGCTTATTAAAGACGTTTCTATTGGAATTTGAGTTTAAATTGCAAAAGAAAACTTTTTTAAAAATGCCAAAATTTATAAAATTATTTGTTTTTTTTTCTTGTCTACTTTTTGTAAAACTTGTAAAATTAAGAAAACATTCAATACTAAAGTTGTTTTAAGGAAACGCCCTGTTGTGCGCACTTTGATGACTTAGACTTTTCTTCATGGGACAAAAAAAGTAAGAAGCACAAATAAATTTTTTTTGTATTTTAGTAACAAATTTATTTAATGAACAAAATCTATTTAATTGAAACTTAAACAAAAAAAATTAGCACTGAGGAATATTTATAAAGAGAAAAAAAAATGATAAAAAAAGTAAAAAATAGAGAAGAAAATTAAACGCCCCATTCTGACGATCTCATCTCGTGAGAAGCTATGGAGCTCATAGGGAAGGGGCGGCTCGAACAATTCCTGTTCTCACAAGGGAAACTAGGGAAGTGTGACTCGCCAATTTTGAAATAAACTAGTGGGATGTATGCCTTATGAGGAATAATTTTAGGGGGCAGCATTCGTTTCGGCCCATACAAGGTCCTGTGAGAGATAAAAAATAATTCAATATATAGAAAAATCCGTTTTTTACTACTTCAATGCAGACTATCAGTTATTGTAATTGTCTCATAATCCATTTAATTTGTAATTAATTGGATAAATAATTAATTTGCTAATTAATAAATTAATTAACATTCGTTTTGGCCCATAGAAGGTCCTGTGAGAGATAAAAAATAATTCAATATATAGAAAAATCCGTTTTTTACTACTTCAATGCAGACTATCAGTTATTGTAATTGTCTCATAATCCATTTAATTTGTAATTAATTGGATAAATAATTCATTTGTTAATTAATAAATTAATAAACATTCGTTTTGGCCCATAGAAGGTCCTGTGAGAGATAAAAAATTATTCAATATTTAGAAAAATCAGTATTTTATTACTTTAATGCAGACTATTAGTTATTGTAATTGTCTCATTTCCCAATTAATCTGTAACTAATTGGATAATTAATTAATTTGCTAATCAATAAATTAATCAGAAAATTAATTAATTAATAATAATTGTTAATTAATTGTTAATTAATTATTAATTTATTTGCAATTACATACTCCAATTAATTTGGAAAGTTTTTTGAAAAAAAAATTAAAAAAATTTGATGTCAATTTTTTTTAAAAATTAACCTAACAGGTTTTTCCGAAAAACTACAAATATATAAAATTTCCAAAATCAATTTTAACAATAAACGTGCATTACGTGAAAGTACCACAAAATTAATTGGAGTATGAGACAATTACAATAACTAATAGTCTGCATTGAAGTAATAAAATATCGATTTTTCCATATAAATTATTTTTTATCTCTCACAGGACCTTCTATGGGCCGAAACAAATGTTTCCCCCTAAAATTATTCCTCATAAGGCATACATCCCACTAGTTTATTTCAAAATTGGCGAGTCACACTTCCCTAGTTTCCCTTGTCAGTGGTGACAAGTTTTTATTATCTTCACGGAACAAAAAAAGAAATAAACAGAATAAATTCAACTGTATTTAACTGACTAATTTATTTAATGAACAAAAGTATTTAATTAAACTACAAAAAACAAAAATTAACGCAAGTAGAATATTTATGGAAAAAAAGTGAAAGATTAATTAGAAGATGGGAAGGAAAACTAAACGTCATAGTCTGATGATGTCATTCCGCGAACTGAAGAGCTCACGGGGCAGCTCAAACAGTATCGGTTGCAGCCTCAAAGTCGGTTAAAGTTACGCTCGTTACACAGTCAATTTATGCTTTAGATAAAATATCTTATTTTTATTTTTATTTGTTTACGTTTTTAAGTTTTTTGTAGACGCGCTAAACAAACTGTAGACGTGTAGACCAAGGTAAGGGGTCGTGCAAATTTTAGATGCGCTATTACAAAATAGAAATTGTTACGAGGGTAAATATGAAAATCATATGCTAATTATATATCAAGGTTAATACTTATGCTGATTTCACAATTTTTAATAATAACTATAACAATATATTATGACCAAAGATCTACTGAAATGATTAAAAAATTATCTAACTGAAAATGACGATCATTTGTTTGAATCAGCATTTACAATACTGAAGTGGGAAAAAAAGAAATATACTCTTGCACGCTGACCTGTTGAAAAATTCATATAAAATGTCGAAATAAAACGAACTTTAGTTATATAGGCTATAAGTGGTACACAAGACAAAATTGAATTTAAAAATTTCAAGTATAGTCTAGTTTTGATTCCTCTAGTGATTTAACATGGTAATTGTAAAGAAGATTGAATTTGTTATAATGAATAATAAGGAGGGTAAAAAATCATAAATGTAAGAAATGAGTAAAAGTTTTAGTATTGAAGTTGAAACAGGGAATAAAATAAAAGTATAATTTTTTTAAATAGAGGATGACGAGCAGGAGAAGATGAATTTCACTCGCATTGTTCATCAGTATACTCAATATTAATCTATGATACTAAAAATTTATATTAGACTCTTAATGCTCATTAATAATGAGGTATACCTAAACCGAAAACCTAAAAAGTAACAAAAGTATTTTTAAATACTTATTTTGTGGAGGATACTAGAGAAGCAATGTGTGATAATCGAATGTAACATTTAAGATTGAAATCATTTTTTTTAATTTAAAAATAAATTTAAAAAAAAACAGTTAGGAAATACTCTGACGTGATCCTTATTTCAATACATCTATCAATTTTTAAACTTCAATTAGATTTCAATTCGACTTTAATTCAATTAGATTTTAATTCATAAATGCAGGTTCCTTTCAGATTTTTGCAGGAACCACTTCCTACTTTCATCCCAGCTAGCAATCTAAAATATTTTACTCTATCTAACAAGATTGTAGATTATTTATAAGTTTATTTGAATAGACATGGCTTAACAAAACTTGATTTTATTTGAATCGCAAACACAAATTTCGAATTCTGACATCCTGTTCTAAACGAAAGAGACTTTACATAATCTTGGTAAGCTTAAAAATAATTCTGAATAACAAAAAAAAATTTAAATTTTTTTAAAAAAATATATAACTATTATAAGGATTCTGCACTGAGTAAAAAAAAAGGTAAAAACTAACTATGTTTCTGGCTTCTTGGTAACATCAAAAATATCGATAATTTTTACCTAAGTGCTTTGGTAAAATTAACACTATATAGTTTTAAAATGCATGATAAAATTTGGTAAATATGGTAAAATATGGTAATTGTTCCTCGATACCCTCTAGAGCATTCTTATTCAGATAAATTTAATTTTCAGTTTTGTATGTTTTAGTAAATGTTTAGTAATAAGAACTGAAATTTTGAAAACCAGAATTTCTGTGAAACCGTTATCATACGAACGGCAAATTCATGGTTAAAATACCTTATTTTTGGTTTTATTGCCAGAATGATTCTTTTATCTCTAACCAGAAATGTAATTAAGATACATGAAATTTTCATCAGCATTTTTTTTTCTTTATTGATTTCTATTTACCAAAACATATCAAATTGCTTGAAATTGCAAATTTAACTAATGATTAATTACGTTTTTTTTAGCTTATTCTTATTAATACACATACTTTTACAAACTCAAGTAATTAATGAAAATTCATTTTTCAGGTGTTTTCCTCATGTGTTGGGTGCCATTCTTTACGTGCAATATACTGGACGCTATCTGCATTAAGTTGCAAAATGACACTTGGCGACCAGGAGTTACTGTTTTTCTGTTAACTACTTGGCTTGGTTACATCAACAGTTGTGTCAACCCAGTTATCTACACCATATTCAACTTGGAATTCCGCAAGGCTTTCACAAAACTTCTTCTCGAGCCTTGCAAGTGAAGGTCAATTATAATTTCAACTCTAGTCAAAGTCTTGTCTAAGTATTTGATGTGGTGCCAATGAGAGTGTCGCCAAGCAATTTTAATAAGTTTCTCAGCAAAAATAGACAATGCTGTGCACATCTATTATTATCAGGCAATATTTGCCAAACATGATCAAAACATAAAAATTATATTTGAGCTGTACTTTAAACCTTCAACTGTCTTGTGTTCAGAATGTGAACAAAAATGTCCCTGGCGAGCATTTACAGTAAAGATACGGGCTCGGCCCGACCCCGGGTCCGGCGCAGGCCTGCTTACTGAAAAAAAAGGGTTCAGGGTCGGATGGTCTCAGACTCATGATAAAATTTTCATAAACTTTTTTACAGCTTTTAAACAAACTCTTATTTCAGTTGTTGAATATTAAAAATTTAAAATTTGCATGGTATAAAAATCTGAAGCGATCTGCAAATTCTGTTCGGTGCTTTCGTTTTTTGAGGCTAGCGTTAATTGTTTTCTTTTCTAATTTCTGTTCTATACATCTTGGAGTTTCAGTTAAGGAATAAAATTCTAAAGCTATCTTCAACTTATGTTCGGTTCTTTTGTTATGTGAGGCAAGCGTTAGTTGTTTTCTTATTTAATTTTTGTTTTATTTACCTTGGAGTTTCAGTTAAGGTATAAAAATTTAAACCGGTCCACAACTTCTGTTCGGTGCTTTTACTTTGTAAGGCAAGCGTTAATTGTTTTCTTTTTTTAATTTCGTTCTATTCATCTTGGAGTTTCAGTTGGTTCAATTTTTCTCTTCACTTTTTCTTTCATAGATTAGTGATGAAAAAGTTTTTAAATACTAATTTTCTTGTTTAGACAACAGAGGTCAAGTGACAAGACAGTATAATTTGGCCTTTATTTGATGCATATCTCTAGCTCATCCGGACTCGGTTTCTAAGTAATACTATGTATCTTGAGCTCAGATTAAAATTCTTCAGGCTCAAAAAGCGAGCCTGAGTTCATTTTTAATGTACAGCAATGATTTCAGCAGAAAAAAAACCCCATTAAATCTCATGAAACTGCCGGTTTTAATAGGAAAAAAAGCAAGCTGATTCTATTCTGTGCTCAGAATTGACAGTTGAAGGGTTAAATTGAACGTGAAATCTTTCGAATTTTATTATTGTTGTTGAAATTTAAATTCTGAAATATCTGTTAACATTATCCTGTCAGAGCTTCAAGTACTCTTTCATATTTTATAAATGTCGTCTTTATATAGATATAGATTTAAATTATTGATGTGATTTTGAATGTGAAAAGGTGAATTTGTTGTAATTAAGAAAATGTCGACGTGGAACAATTTATGTGAATTACTAGGTCTGTTTTAAAAATAGCTGCAATATATTTTTGTTCTGCTTATTCTGACCCAACTTTTCCCATAATTATTTTTATGCAAATTAGAAAAAAAAAATTGAATCTGAGTACCTTTGTAATTCTAAAAATGGCGTTGTAAACATCGTGGGTTCATTAATTACATTTAAATTAAATTTTTTTCATATGATAATCAAATTAAGTCGACATTTAAGGTTATGAATTAATCAAAAATTAATAAATAAAAATAAAGTGTAAGATAACACCAAATACACAAAAATCATTCCTTTCCATAGCGGGTTAAAAAACTTTTAAAGACATTAAGTTAACTAAGAACATTGTTACAAATGCATTTTCTACATTAGCAATCACAATTAATTGACAAAACAATTCATTTCTAACTTTAAATGAAATTCGTTTTAATTAATATTTTACATGTTCTCCTTTTCAAAACCTGTTTCAATTGTTTTATCATGCTCTGTAAACAATTTCCATATCAAATTACAATATAAAATACCATCATTTTGGGTGCATTACCCCTAATTTCCATTTTATTATAATATTTATTTAATTACAGTGATTCAGTTATTTACGGTAATTCTAACTATAAAAATTACGGTATATCGAAATTTCTGTTCCGTAACATGTTCCGTTAAACATTGATTTTAGGGTAAAAAATACTGGCACCTTGAATGCCGGTACATTGAATGAGTGTAATTTGATGCGTTAATCCATTTGAGTGTAATTTGATCCGGAATTTTGTACAGTGTTGTGATAGTTTTCATTAGTTTTCCTTACCTTAACTGTTAAACTATTATTGAAACGATTAACAAATGAGGCCATTTTTTTGCAGTGCAGGTTTGTGAATGCTTGCTATCTTATAACCTGTGAATTCTTTTAGGATTTAAAATCCCAGGAGTTCTGCGTTTCTTTTTTAGAAAAATGGTCCATTGTTTTTTTCTGATTTTTTAAAATTTCCGAAATGGAGTCGAACATATTTTATAAATTTCACTTTTGAAAGGAAAATTTTCGTTCAGCAGCAGCAACGACTAGACTGTATGAAAAATATTAAAAAAATATTTTGTTTATAAATGAATTAGAACATCCAAAATTTCATTTCATTTCAATTAACATGTTCTCTACTATGATGTAAGATGCATAATTATTAAATTTTTCTTAAAATAGTGAATGAATTTAAACAATTACGTCAGTTGTTTGGTAATTAAACTTATTAAAAAATAAAATGCTGTTAGCAAATGGATCTGAAGGGAAAAAAAGTGCTTATGCGCGTTAAAACTTTTAAAAAGTTTTATGAATGACTTGATTGTTTTATGACGAGCAATGAAGGGTACTGCCAAAATACATAGCCCAGTTATCGTTATTTTAAAATATGACGTACTTATGAACGTATTTTCTCATATCAATATACACCAATAGTCATACTTTCCGATATGTTTTTAACATAAGAGTGAGTTGTACTTTTGATACTTTATTTTTAATACCGTTACAGAGAATTTAATTATTATGTTTAAAAATGAAATCTATGTATAATAGAAAAATTATTAGTTTTTTACGTTTAATTTTGTGAAATATTTTGTATAGAATTTTATGATTCTGTATGCTAAAATTGATGTGAGCAATAATTTATAAAAGGATATAAATCTTATTATGTATTTTTTTGTAATATGTGGCATTCCCTTTGCATAGATCTACAATCAGTTTTTTTATAACATCACAACTAATCACAGCTGAAATTCGACTAACGGGGAAACGGAAAAATTAAGAAAACTGTAAAAGATGTAGTAATTAGACAATTTAAAGAAACCCGCACTTCTGTAAAAATCATATTCAAACGAAAATAAACTTAAATTGAAAATCATGATTCAAAATATTACATGAGGTGGAAATATACTGCAACTACTGCCACTGGGTCAAGATCAGACCCTTCCCCAAGATTTTAGTATTTAATAGTAATAGTATTTAAATCAAAAAACAATGCAATGGATAAGGAGTTGTAGTGCTATGTTAAAAAATATCCGCCTTAACCCTCTGAGGCAGAATTTTGATTAAACATTTTTTTTTCATCAGTTTGTATGTTTGTTCATCAGTTTGTTTCACTAATTTGCAGTTATTTGGATCTAAGAGAAATAGTTATTAGAGAATAGTTATTTAATTTAAAATATCAACTATCGATTAATTTTTGAATATGAATGAAGAAAAATTTTGCTGTTTTTATTTTTTTGGTTTTCATATTTTAGTACAGATATATTTCCGATAATCTAACTGACTTTTTTAATACCCATTCGATCCTTTTTTTATATTAAAAAATACAAGCAGATATTTTTGCTTGAAATCAGAGCATCAGAAAGAAAATGTATAAAACGGACACCGGTGTTCCATCTGCGTCAAAGGGCACCAAAAATTTGCTAATTTTATCACTGCTGAAGAAATTTCTTTTTTCAATTTCATTAAGATTTATATGTTTATTTAAAAATATAATGTGTGCGAAATTTTAGTATTCAAAAAATGTTCATTGGTGTAAAACGTAAAACTATCTAAAGCAAAATTCTAACTAAGACAAACATTTGTATTCGTTTGATTCCGAGTAGCGCAAAAAAGTAATAAAAAATCTTTTTTCCTTGCTATTTATCAGTTATAATTTTCAAGTTTCAAATCATTGTTTGAAAGTGGTTTAAAGTATAATATAAGTATTATACATCTAGGGGTATGTCACATACTGCAAAAACATAGATTACGTGTGCATATATAATTTTCCTGAAACTTTAAAGCAACATCATATAAGTTGAATTACCAACACTTAATTGGATTTTATGTGTTAACAAAGTAAATTCGAAATGTTTATTTTAGGACGATTAATGAAAGCCACGTTAAAGAAATTTACGATGATTTATTATTTGTATCTTGCAATATAATTTTTACTTTTGTACTTATTTTTGTGGAGTAATTTGATCTATCAGAAATAGTAGTTTGATGCCAAGATTGGTACAAATTTTTGTTCGATTAAATGGTAAATGTAACTTAAATATGTAAATCTAAATGTGTAAAAATATAAAATAAAATTTTATTGTATGAAAGTTTTGTCTCCGTTGCTTATCGACCGCAGAAAGAAAAGATTCACAAATCAAAAATATAGTAACTTTAATATAGTAATAATGCAAATAGTTTTTTTATTACAAATGTATAATGTATATCACTCCACTATGTACAATCCCAGGCAGAAGTGAAGTAAAAATGTGTAGACATTAAAAAAGTTAATATGTTTGCTACACTGAAAAAAATTTTGGTCAAAACAACCACATTTAAATAAAACATACCGTACTTCCGACTAAATGGAGATAGTAAAATGCTCGGTAATATTAACCGAAGCCCATTGATAATTGTTTTGATAAAATTAACCTTAAAATATAATTTTATAATCTATGGTAAAATTTAGTAACTTTATCGTGATACTTTTAAACATGACATAAAAACCATTTCACTTTTCAGTTAAGAAATTTTTACTAAATGTATGATAATAAATACTATAATTTCTAAAGCCAGAATTTCCGGTAAACAGTAACTATATGAACGAGAAATTACATAATGAATGGTTTAAATATTGTATATTTTGTACATTTATTATTACAATACAATATGGTAATTTTACCGGAATTCTTTTGTAGGTAGTAAAAGCATTGCGTTAGAAATCTAATGAATTATTTTTGACAAGGATGGGAATAAGCTCATTAAAATCACTTAGATTTCTTGCGTTAACTTGCAAGATTTCTTTTAATTGAACTAATTAACTGAATTATTTCCGGCTATAAAACAGTATTTGATGTTTCTGATCTCGGATTCCTGGTAAGGATCTCTCAGGTTTCATCTTTCAGGATTTTGTTTTCTAGCGTTTAAATATCAATTCCTTGTCTTAAATGAATTGTTTTTCATGCATTTTTTTACTTTGTTTCTCCCAATGACTTTAAAAATAACCCTGATTACAAATATACTGTTTGACGACAAAATATGGGCCGGGAGAGCCTGGCTGGTAGGGTGCTGGTCTTCCATTCGTGAGAACGGGAGTTCGAATCCAGCCGGCCGATAACTTCCCGTGTAATAAATGGTTACCGGTGCATGTATTTTGCTGGGTCACGAAGTTCTCCATGTTCCTATAACAAATTATACCTCTGGGGCTACTGAATTGCAGATTGATCGTTCTCTAATTCAGGTCAAAATTACGATGTGTGGCTAAATAAATGGATGTATGTATGGGTAAGCCCTATGTAAACTCATGTTTGTGAAAATTGCAACACCATGAAGGACTTATGCAAGTGAGCTGAAATTTTCAGGAAATGCAAAATAGAGCATAATATGCAAATGATTAGAATTTCAGATCCGTAGCGCATGCGTCTACTGAGCAGCGCCCTCTGAACGGCGGATGGATCCGAATAAATAAACAGCTGTAGCGAGGCGTGTATGGTTATTGGTGGTTATCTGCTAGTGGTAAACGTTAGCTCAGACGTTACTTATACCTCTCGACGAAAGAGAGCGAGATTTCAACAACTTACGGAGTTTGAAAGGGGGAGAATCATCAGCCTTCGTGAAGCTGGATTGTCGCATCGTGCAGTAGCCGCTCGTGTGCAGCGTAACAGCAGCACAGTGATGCGTGTTTGGAAGCAGTGGACGGACGAGTGTCAGACAACTCGGAAATCCGGGAGTGGACCCCGAAACGTCACGTCAGCTCGCGATGATAGACACCTGGTCCGCAAGGCGCTGACAGGCCGTACGGCTCTCTCTAGACAACTGGCAGCACAGTGGTCAATAGCTACAGGTGTTTCAATGTGTGCTTCATTAATTCGTAGACGTCAACTGCGGCGTGGACTGCGCGCAAAGACTCCTTTATACAGGTTCACCATCACGCTAAACCATAGCCGCCTGCGGCTACAATGGGCCAATCAGCATAAGGACTGGCGTGCTGATTGCCAGCAGGTCGTGTTTTCTGACGAATCCCGCTTTAATTTGTGGTACCATGATGGCCGCATTCGTGTCAGACGCTATGCCTGTGAACGCCACCTTCCGGAGTGCATTATCGAACGCCACAGTGGACGAACACCCGGAGTTATGGTCTGGAGTGCCATAGCATATCATGGACGATCTCAATTGCTACGAATTGTGGGTAATCTGAAAAACAACCGGTACTTCAGTGAAGTTTTACAGCCGCAAGCTGTTCCCTTCCTTCAAGCCTTGCCAGGCGCTGTATTTCAACAAGACAATGCCAGCCGTCATACTGCTGGGACTGTTCAATCCTTCCCTGCATTGCGGCAGGTACAGTTTCTTTCTTGGCTTGCGTATTCCCCAGATACGTCACCGATTGAACACGTGTGTCATTTCGTTGGTCGGTGCCTCGCTCGTGATCCTCGTCCTGTTGCTTCTACAGACGAACTTTGGGTATGCATACAAACTATATGGAATGCTCTTCCTCAGACAGACATTCAAAATTTGCTCGACTCCATGCCACGTCGTGTAGCAGCGCTTATTGCGGTGCGTGGTGGCTACACAAAATACTGATTTCGATCTCTTGTTCTTGCTTGTTTGCTTTGAAAGTTTAATCATTTATTTGTACCACTACCACTCAACTGTGTAGTAAATTTCATTCAATTATGACGATTCCTTCCTGGTGTTGCAATTTTCACAAACAGGAGTTTACAAACGGGTGTAGCGTATGGGTGTGGTAGAAGTCATATTCTTGGCCATAGATGACGCCACTGGACAACAAGAACAATCACAGCCCTTGCTTTAATGGCCTATGATATACCTACAACAAAATATTAGATATATGTCCATTTTTGGGTATGTCGCCAATTCTACAGCGCATCGAAATGGCATTATAAAAATGTATAATACAAGTACATAAAATACAAAGGATCAAACTAATAATAATTCTTTGAATTCCATTCATTAATTGCACCTCTGGATTAACCTACAAGCTCTTTTAAGTCACATAAAATTTTTCCAATAAAAGGCAACAAAAAAATTATTTGCTGTTCAGAGATATTTTCTTGATTTTTATACAAAAATATAATTACAAAATAGGTTTTATATATTTCATAATCTAACAAAGTAGAAGTTAAAAAATAAAAAAGACAGAAATTTATCTTTGAAATGTTCTTTCCAGATAAACAAAAAATTACTTTTAATAGTTAAATAGCTTTCTCTCTCTTCAAATAAAACACAATCCAAAAGTGAGTAATTTGAAACAATCTTGAAACAAATAAGTTCTTAATTTAATAAAAATACACACACATTTTCATTTTAAATATTGGTAAATTCACTTAGCAAAAACATTTTTTCTCTGGAGTAAAAGAACAGATAAAATAATAACCAAATATAAATCATTCTCATATTTATTAATTTCATGAGACTTATACCCATGAGAATATGCATTAAGATAAAAATTATGAAACTTATTTTAAGTCAGTAGATTGAAATTTAATTATCCAACGAAATATGTGATTCATTCATTTTATCTATTTGATATTAAGAAATAGAGATAATTATTACAAAGAAAAAAAGATTTCATTGAGTTTCTTTTCCAAATAAAATGTGGACAAGATTCTCAGAATAGCTTAATTATATCTAATATATGCATTGCTAGATACATTCCTGTAATTTATGCTACATTTTATAAAAACGAAAAGTAAATTGCAGAAACAAATTTAACTATTTTTAGTTAAGCAGATGGGAAAAGTGGATAAAAAATGTAAACGATATAATAGTTTTTCGCTTTGCAGATGAAAATAGTTGATAAAGTGTAAATCATAGAAATGGCTAGAACAGTACTTACAGAAATGTAAATTTCAAAAATATTTTTTTCCTTGAAGATGGCATCAGTTTCCTTAAATGAAAATCGCAGGAATAATATATAGCCATATATCATAAACTAAGTAAACCTAAAAAATTTTGCACTCAATTATAGAACTAGTTTATTTAGAAATAATTATATCCAAATTGAAACAAAAAATAATGAAAGTCATGTATAATTTTTTAATATTTAATTTGTGTATGTTAGAAAATATTTTGAATAATAAGGTACATGATTTGTTACATAATTGTAATCAAATGTACTCTTAAATGATGAATTACAGATTATGAACGGAACGAAATCTAACAAAATCTACGTGAGAACGTAATGGAACTAGTTTATTTCAAAATAATTTTATTCAAATTTATAATAATAATTTAAGTACTGTCACGCATTATATCGGAATATTTTATTTAAGTATGAAAGAAAATCTAATATATATAATTCTCTTACGTGGCTCCCAAATTTTGGCTGTATTTCTTTTCCGCCGGTGGCAACATTTGCATGTTTTGTTTACATTACTATTTCTCTTACTCGGCGAATCGACCAAAGATTGCCGCTAAAAATGTCACATGCCAAATCTAGATGAGGGGGCTCATCGTATAGCGCTTTTAAAAACGGAAACTGAAATAACCAGAGAGCATCAGCTGCGGCAATCTCATACTATTAAGCTAGGCAGAAGTGAGTAGTCTTTGTCGATAGATCTCTATTTTAGTATTTTGTCGAAAGCGCTTTTTTTCACGAATTTATATATTACGAATTTATTTGACGATTTTTGATTTATATCACGAATTTATTTGTTTTACTAGAATTTATTTGTTTATGCAGGTTTTTCCATTGCAATTCACTTATTTCAATTTTTAATAGACTTAATTATAGCCAAAATTTTAACCTTTTTAAAGAGATATCAGTTTTAGAAATTTTATCTTAAGATTTTATACTATAGCACATTTCTAATAGGTTTAACGAATTACATGTCATTTATTTGAATTCAAATTTATTTTAATGACTTAGTATTTACTAAAAAGATGTAATTTTTTTTTAAAAAAAAGGTTTTTATATGGATTTGAATGATTGTTGTGAATTTTTAGAATTTTGTGCCTAAAATAGTAGCGAGCGAAGCGAGCTTGGTTTGCGAAGCAAACCATGTAAGATTGCGTAGTAATTTTCGGGGGTTGGCGAGCGTTAGCGAGCAGGGGGCGTAGCCCTCTAGTATATTAGAATTATGTAATATAT